TGGGCAGCCAGAAGGGAGGGCTGGGCCAGCTGTGCACAGGCCTGGGCGCCCGCGAGGCACTGACTCCGTCCTGAGAACCTCCGTGACCCCGAGCGGGACAGTGGCAGTCTGGTTCCGGTTTAAAAGCCGTCAGCAGAGTGAAGACTGAACTGCAGGGGACGAAGCCGGAGCACAGGGAGGCTGTGAGGAGGCTGCAGCGCCCAGGCGGGAGCGACGGCTCTGCCCGCAGGCCTGGGAGGGACCGAGGGGCAACAGCTTTGCAGACCCCCGAGAGGCAGAAGTGGCCGGAGGCGGCGATTCACCGGAGGTGGCCGTGAGAGGGGGAAGCCGCTGACGGTGTCCAGCTTGACGACGTGGCTGGGCTGCCCCGAAGCCTCAGAGGGAAGCCCTGCTCTGCCGTCCTGCTTTCCCGGTCTGACCGCGCGCGGTGACCCTCATCCACACACCCAGCCGAGTCCGGGACTCCTGTTCCCCAGGCAGGGCCGGGCCTCCTGGCTCACGCCCTGCTCTGGTCTCCACACAGGCAGGCCCTTCGCGGATGCTGTAGAAACAGCAGTGGACCTGGCCAAGCCCTCGCGGTGGCTTCTTTGCACAAGCGTCCATCTCTCTTGGTTTTCATGACAGCCGGCGGGCGGAGGAGGAGGGGAGAGCCGAGGCCTGTCGGGCTCCAAGCGGGCTCCGACCACCACACCAGCCCTGCTCTCAGAAGGCTCCCGGCAGCCTGCGGCCCCGTGTCATAGGGGCCTTTGGTTCTCGGCACAACCATGCCCAAGGGGTTGGCCCCGTTCTGCGGACGAGGAGATGAGGTATGCGCGCCATGTGCCCTGGCCAAGGTGGCAGCCAGCAGTGGCAAACGCTCGGCGGTGAGGCGTGCCCCTCGGACGTGCTCATGTGTCCCCGTCGCCTCTGTGCCTGTGCCCAGCCCACACTGTCGGTGGCCCCACTGCCCTTTGGGTCTCTGGAGCCGTTTACTCCCCTGTGTCTTGCGCTCGAGTTATCTGAGCCGCCATCTGCCCAGGCTTGTGGCTGGGCCCGACACCTCTCCTGGCCCCTGGGTTCCTTCCCGACGGCGAATCACAAGGCGAGGGGAGCCCTGGATCTGCCGCACATCCCACACGCCGTGTTGTGGTTTTTCAGTGAACTTGCAGGGGCCTAGAATGAATTTTACCACCGTACATAAAAATAGCTACTATCTAGTTCTAATAATAGTAGAACGATCTGCCAGACCTTGCGTCCCACCCTTTACAGACTTTAAGAAAATATGTAAATAGCCCTTCCACTAAGCAAGTAAGGGGGAGATTTTGGAGCTGACTTTTGCGAATGACGATGCTGAGGCTCTGGAGGTCACACGCCTGCCCCAGGCCACGGGGCTGGGACTTGCCGGGGGGAAGCCCGACTCCACGGCCACACGCTTCCCAGCTCTCCTGACGCCTCTGGGGCTGCCCAGAAGCACACCAGGGTTTGTCGAGCGCAGGAGTGGGAGTGGCTGGTGCTGGAGAAGGCCATGTGGGCAGGAGGGAGAAGCTGGGGTGGCCTCTGAGGGCTGCTCCCTGAGCCCCGGAGGTCAGGCCAGGCCTGCCGCCCAACCTCTGTGTCCGTCTGCAGGTCCGCTTCGTGAACAGCACGTGGGTGTTCGGGAAGGGCATGTGCCACGTCAGCCGCTTTGCCCAGTACTGCTCCCTGCACGTCTCCGCGCTGACGCTGACGGCCATTGCGGTGGACCGCCACCAGGTGAGGGCACCTGCGCCAACATGCTGTCCTTCCCCGCTGGCTTTGCTTTCCAGAGCTCCCGGGACACGGGGTTCGCCCTGGTTTCCACGAGTCCGCTCGTCTGATGGATGCATGTGGCCGCTGGGTGAGGGATGTTGAGCCCTGTGTCCCAGGTGTGGCCAAAGGTTATTTTCAGCTCGTTGTTCCAGTGAAGACTCACTCCCCGCTTTCTCTGTCTCGGAAGAGTGAGTGAGCTTGTTTGGGAGGTGCACAAGCAAACCCAGCAAACTGTGAGTGAAGAGAGATGGACATGGCAGGGCAGAGACGAGGCCTCTGAGTGACAGGTGGCTGCTGACCGGCCCAGGCTGGTTGAGGAGGAAACCAGCCAGGATGGCC